TATATTTATTAATCGTGGAAAATTATTTAATTATTTATTCGGAACAATTTTAATTACCGGAATTGATTGCTGAGAAAACTACGACGCATTTTCGAAATTTAAGACCGTGGATAATTTTTTGAAATTACTTTTTCCACACTGAGTTGAATTAATTATAATCTAATCGCCGTTCGCAAATTGCTAGAAATTTATTATTCCACGTGTTATTAATTATTGAGAATGGATTTATTAAATTTCGACGCAAATAAGACTGGTACACCCGCAGGAAAATTGAGGTACGAAATTTTCATGTTGAGTAAAATTATAATTTATTATCTAATTTAATTGCCAATTTCTGCCAGGGGAGTCTTATATCGAATTTATACCAATAATTTATTATCATCATTATCCCGGTAAAATTATTTATAAAACTATTTATTCGTGTGGATTAAATTCGAGAAAAATTCAGTTAAAATTACAAAAGAATATTCTAAGAATTTGTTAATGCGCAGAGATAAGCTCGTGTTAAATTTGGAAGGAAAAGAAGCGTCGGTTTAAGCCGGAAATTTTAAGAAGTAAAATTTATTAATTTATGAGAATAAATTCAGGAGTTTTTATTTTGCGAGCTAATGACTGATAAGTTTTAATGAGAATCTAAAGTTGACATTTTTCGGAGTTAATTGTTGTAAATCCGGAAATAAATTAGTAAAGTAGAGTCGGTGTGTGTGTGAGACGTGTGGGGTATGTGTGTGTGAGTGTTACCGGAGTTCCTTTGCTGTCGTGCAGTCCGTTGCGAGGTGTTTCTCTGGCGTAGAGCGTGAGGGTCCGGTGGACAGCGCGACGTAAGGGGTATGTGTGTGAGAGAGCTGCAGAGGCTTCTTGGCTTATGTTGCAGTCACTAGGCTGTTGCTTCTGTAGCAAGGCGTTATTGATAAGCCCTCGTGCACTGCAGTCTTTGTACGAGGTGTCCTATTGATAAGTAGTTCTAAGTCGGAGTAGCCGGTTCCAGCCCGAAATCCTCCAGTAGTTATAAGTTGTAGTAGCGACTTCCCGGTGGGAAGCGTGAAGTAAGAAAATCGTAGTCATAAGTCGTAGTTGTAAGTGAGTAGTGTAAGTGAGTTGGGAGTACGTACAAGTGTACGAGTTGTTATTTTATTGTTAATAAATTTGGTACCGTTGTTAATAAAAATATATTTATTTCAGTACACCTTTCTCTCTCTCCCTCCCTGTAGAATAAGTAGCTCAGCTCTGGCATCCGATTCCAGGAACCGAAAAAATAATCCTGGTGGCGCCCTATTTAGCATTAGAGTCATTTTGCTGTTATATTGTTAATTATTAATTTTATTCAAGGCCAATAAGTACGGGAAATAAACCACCCGTTACAATGTCATTAGGGATTATCGGCTGAACGTTGGATATTATAAGTCTTTTGTTCCAACTGAATAATGGGCGGATTAAAATTCTTTGGTTGGTGATAATAATAGCTTGGTGGATGTCTATTAGTTGGTCGGCTATTTCTTTAGATGATAAATACACACATACACGGTTGTTCGAGATTCGAGAGATGTGTCGGATGTTTTCTGGATCAATTTTGGTGGCAATTACTAGGGCATAATCCTGTGTTGGTGTTCCGTCAACTGTATCAAGAACGATAGCTTGTTCTTTAGTCAGTATGACTTCTTTCTAAATTGCCTGGATGTAGTTCATGGTTGGCATGGCTCTGTTTTGAAGATTCCCTGTAGTCAGAGAACTTTTAAATTGATTCATTAAGCTCATAGAAAATCTGGAGCCTAGTGTGGGTGGTAACTAAGATCACAAGAGGTTGCTCACAATTCACACATAATACACTATAGTAATTAGCGATAGGTTGAACACGTAGTACGGAACAGCGTGAACACGTCCGAACCGGTCGAGTGCTAACCGAATACTCGGTTTCTTTTTTTTATTATTGGTTCAAAAATTATCGAATTTTCAAAAAAACTGCTCTTCTTTTAGTTTTTGCTTGTAACTTTCTTAATAATAGTCGAAATTTGAATTGTTTTATTTCAAAATTTTCGTTTTTAAATGCCTTTTTTAGAAAAAAATATAAAAAAAAAATTTTATTTATTTTTCATCGAGATTTTTTAATTTTAAGTTTTTAGTTGTGTTTTCCAAATTGTGTATATCCTTCGATTTTTTTTAAATTTAATGTTTTGAATTTCTATCCATTCTTCGACTTTTAATCCTGGTTCGGTAATGGGCCTTACATAATTACTATTTTCTTTCGATTTTTAAAAGTTAAAAAATTTAATTTTCCGCTATAAATAATTATTAATACCGATTTTTAAACTCTACACTTCTTTTTTGCTTATAGTAAATTGATTCTGATTTATTTTTCCGCTAAATAGGAATGTTAATGAAGTAAAGAAAGGCTAATTTTATTTAAGAGTAACTATTAACAAACGTCTTTATTTATTTTCCTTTTTATTTCAAAACTGTTTCAAAATTATATTATATATGCTTTTCGTTTTATAAAGTATTCTTATACTCATTCAAATGTCCGTGTCTCTATGAATTTTAGTTCATTTTGAAAAGCGTAGTACATGTTGATAATTTTCTCACTAGGTGACACTACGGATGTTTTCTTTATACCGGCAGTTTCCTTTTGCTGGCATAGTTTGTTTATTCGTATCATAACCTCGGCCATTTCATCTAGTACTGGAATCTCGATTCATAGTTAGTTGTGTGTGTGTGTGTGTGTGTGTGTGTGTGTGTGTGTGTGTGTGTGTGTGTGTGTGTGTTTATTTGGATTAAATAATAAATATTTTTATATAGCATCTAAATCAGGACTTTTTAAATGCTGCAATCCATTAAACTTGGAAAATGATATTGTTGGCGATAACAATATTGTGGCAGGTAAATCCGACACTAGAAATGAGAGCTGTCTGACATCTGCATCAGTATCCACTCATTATTCATCTTCAGGTTTGATTTTTTTCATTGGAGTTTTTGACCACTGATCTTAAACGTAATAATCAATTTTTTTTTTTTTTTTTTTAAGAGTTAAAGTCACTTTCAGGTTAAGAAATCACTTGTACCTTACCAGAATCAATTATCGATACTCAATCACCTGTAATTAATCAAGTTTTGCTTTTATTAAATATAACGCCGTTGCATCGTTACGCAGTAAACGATTCATCTTATTTAAGGATCGAATGTAATGAAATTTGCTCTTCTTTTGCGAAACTATTAAGCCTAGATAATGGATCTAACCACTACGAAAATCCATTTAACTATCAGAAAGTTCTCGAAAATCTGAAAAATAAATTTGACGATGAAGCAACTACTCGAACTGAAAAATCACAAATTTTGACACTTTTATCTTGTAACAGTTTTGTTTGCTGTTCAACTGGCCTCTTAATTAATTAACAATAACAGTAAACTAATAAATAAAACGAACCAAGATTAACTAATTTAGGGCGCCACCAGATTTATTCTCACGGTTCCTGGGAGCGGTCCAGAGCAGAGAGCTTATCTTCTGGGGTTAGAGAGAGTGGAGAAAGGTGCTGTTGAAATGAGAAATAATTAATTAACAAATGTACCGGTTTTTATTAACAATGACATATTAACAAATTAAATCACTCACACACTCACACTATAAAACTCGGTTTTACCCGAATTAATTTATTATACAAACTAATACAATTATTAAAACAATTACAGATATTAAATAAATTAATCAGATTAATTTCAGTTAATTAAAAATTCTCACTGCGAATATTATAAATGATTTTTGACCTCAAGGTCGACTGAATGACTCTCGCGTATAAATCCCCTTGAAAATCACTCAGTCCAAACTAACGAATATTATCAACTATTATTAATTAATTAACTAAATAAAATAGAAAAGGAAAAGTAAACCGAGTATTAGGCAAACCGCGGTCTACTTCTAGCCCACAGAATAATTTTCGATACCTTGATGTTATTCTGACGATCTAACTCACTGCTTGAGAATGAAGTCCTGGTCATTCAGTTGGCTTCCTTCGTCTCGTTACTACTCAAGGGATCGGTGCCTCTTGATTTTCCGTGGCACACTCTCTGGTGGTTACACCTCTTCTCCCGTTGCACTGCTCAGCTCACCTGTACGAACCCAAAACTACCCCCTCCTACTTACTCTCTAGACCCGAAGATCGAGACGCGCCAGTGCTGCGTTGAACAATTATCAATATCCGGTGACTTATCAATTCAGGATAATTTTACCCTGTTACAATCTTCTGATTGGAGCATCCAAATTATTTGTGATGTAATGGATGCTACAAAGCATATGGCAATGGAATCAAAACAACTGGGGGAAATTAAATGGATTTTGTCGATGCCCGAGAGAAAAAAAGGTAAAGTATTCAAGTATTTCATCATACTTTCTCTGTCTATGATTAGATACATTGCGTTTTTTTTAGAACGACCTTTACCTAACGAAATTAGAACCAAGGTTATAGAATTTTATCCAATTGAGGATATCAGTGTAAATTTACCTGGCAAGAAAGATTTTCTTTCTGTTAGAAGCGATGATGCTCAAAGAGAGCATGTACAGAAGAAAATTATCTTATGTAATTTAAACGAATTGTATCAAACTTTCAAAGAACACTATCTAAATTAACTGATAGGATGTTCTAGTTTTGCATCATTAAGACATGAGCATTGTGTTCTTGCCGGATCTGGTGGTATCCATACTGTTTACGTATGTGCTATCCATCAAAACGTCAAACTCATAATGTTAGGTGAGTATAACTAAAATTATACTTTTAAATTGTACAATTTAATAATTTTATGTTTTAACAGGCTTTAATTTGGCAGTATTAACTACTCATCTTGCCAATCCCTTAATGCAATTTAGTGATTGCTTCAAAATGATCTTATGTGCCAGTACATCATCTGATTGTTACTTATCAATATGTAAGGGATGTCCCGGGATTGACGTTTTTCATAATCTATTGAACACCTTATGTGATAAAAATGTCCAAGATGATATTTTATAAAAATATTGGATATCTAATTCTCGTTGCAGTCTGGAAACAGTTACAAAAAACTCGACATAATTCGTTGAAATATTCTCTGATCATATATAAAATTTATGACCGCATGATTTTGTTGCTAAAAAACAATCAGTTTTTCTGAAACAAACAAAACAATCGTTGCAAGATCATGAGTTCATAGCCATTTGCGATTTTGCAGAAAACATGCTTGTAAGCATGAACAGATCTGATAAGACCTGAAAACTCATGCCTGTTCATATCTGATCAGATCTGATCATTTTTTTCCCGAGATGCCTGTTCATATCTGATCAGATCTGATCATTTTTTTCCCGAGATGCCTGTTCATATCTGATCAGATCTGATCATTTTTTTCCCGAGATGCCTGTTCATATCTGATCAGACCTGAAGACTCATGCCTGTTCATATCTGATCATATTTTCCCGTGATGCTCTTGCCCGACATTTCTTTTGTAAACATTCTAAAATGATAATTTAATTGTAATAAAAATTATAATACAGTGTTTATGGAATTCTCAGTAATAACAATGTCTGATTATCAAATAATATTATTTATCAACATGTCGTAACATGTACTAACATATATAAAGTTTTTTTTGAATATATTTCTCTGAACACAAATAGAAATATCGATATATTTATTTTGCATTGATATATTACTTTTTCTATTAATTCTTACTTCTTATCAAATAATGGTGATTAAGTTTTGCTAACCTTTGGATTATTACACCTTAACTTTTTCAAATTAATAATTAGAAAATATGAATAGAAATAAGATATTTAAGTAGTAATATCACTTTCTTATTATATTTTTTTCTATATATTATTGTTTTTTTTTCTTTCTAAGAAATCATTTTTATACTGCTAATCTTCGGTTTGTTCTCCAAACTTAAATCTAAATAATTAAAAAAAAGAGTTTACTGAATTTTGTTCAAGATTGATAGAAATATAAGATGATTAATCTTTATAATTTTAAATCATTAATGATTTTTAAGTGTTTTCAATAAATCAACGTCTTAACTTATTATAAGTCAAAAGAAAGTATTTACAAAACTAACTATCTTTTTTAGCAGACTTGACAATTGCATTATTATGGTTTCTTTTGTACTCCGTTATCCTCTGGCCCATTTCCATCAAAATGACAGCAGAATCTTGTTTTGGCCAATTTTTCGCGGCTGTATAGCGAATGGCAAAATCTGCAAATCAAAAAATTAACATGTACGCACAGATAAAAGATCTTATAAAATCTACAGATAATCTATAGATTTGACAGTTCTATAAAATTTACAGAAGTCTGTTTTTTCTTTGCGTGCATGCAGAAAATCTAATTAATGAATAAGAATCACTCACCAAGAATTGCATCTCTGCCACGCTTATTAAGCGGTATAATTTCAACATCTGATTTTGTGTGTTTACCACGAGGAGCCTGTCCCGTTAAGGTGCAATTCATAAGAGACTCATGGGTAAAAATCCCTTTTAGCAATCTCCTCGCTATGTATGTTGCTTTCTTAGAAGCTCCTGTTGCTGAATCATAAATTGCATTCCTACAATAAACACTGTTGCCGATCTTCGTCATCTATAAAATTGAAAATCGAATTATTAATTTATTCTTTTTGAGTAAATTATACTTCTTTTCGCGCGTTTGTAGCATTTGAAAAAATTAAATTAGAGTTCATTAGAAAAAATAGATAATTTTTTTTTTTAATTTAAAAATAAATGCTGCATGTATATTTCAATAATTATTTAATGAACATTGCAAATTGCTTCGAAAAACCATTTGATAATTAAATATTTAGGTTCATATCCGCGTGTTGTTATGTCCAAGGGCGTTTTTAGGGCGGTAGCGTAAACGGTGGAGGTTTGGACTAACAGTTTAAAGTGTAACGTCTGCTAAAATTCAAAATTTTTGTTTTTTTTCTTCTACCCATTAAAATTTTTAATATTTAATTCACTATTTTATTTTCTAAGTTTAATATTTCTTAATTTTAAGTTAGCTAATTTCTTAAGCATGGAGATGTGACGTATGTAAGGGGTCATGTCGTGCCAAAATTTTACAATTTAATCTCACACCTATAAAATTTTCTTATATTAAGTTTTCATGTATTATTTTATATATATGTTTCAACTTTTAATATTTCTAAATTTTCAGTTACTTATTTACTTAAGTGGTCGACACATTTATTAAATATTACAATAGCTGTACACTTGATGCTACCTTCTGATGCAAGTATTTTCAACATTTGGTTATATTGTCTTGAAAAACGGTTAGACTTCGAGTTTCCGGTGAAGAAACTTGTCGCCTTTAACACCTGTATTTGCCTATGACCGCGTTCTAGTGCATGTTCGGTAGTTGCTCAATATCACGTGAAACGCACATGAATTTGAGTCATACTATCAAAATTTCTAGAATTTTCTAACGCATAGGTACCATCTGTTTTCCCACTACATCGAAATTGATGTCCCTTTATAAGCTCGATAAAAATTATTACAAATCAGTCTACAGTAAAACTTCGGAAGTCTCGACGTTCCTGACGCCGACAGTCTTTATTGTGCTCCGGGCATTATTTTGATGTTCGTGGTTAGGCTTTTCGAAAATTTTAAAAAGCACTAACGTAATCTGAAATCGCTAGAGCATTCTATTCCTGGTGATCGATGTACTTTGAACCGATATAGACGTGAGTCTTGCACGGCATAACAATTAAATTCAAAGAGCTGCATCACTGATCAGTTAGTAATTTATTTGGTCGGAAACGTGAAACAAATTATAGTAAATAGTTTTTTTTATTATTTCATTGTGTGTACTAATTTCCGCGAAAAGCGTTGACAAAATTTAAATATTCCGCGAAGAAAGCGTTGAATCAAATCCTAATTTTCCGCTAAAAAGGGCGCATTTTTCATTTTATCGCGAAACGCGAAGTCTAATATTAAGTAAATAATCACTAAAAGTGTTTTTGAATCGTTACCAAATACTACTACGTTGTCTCAACAGGTAGCAACAAGTCGAAAAAAGTAACCTATTCATCTATTTTATTTTTATTTTCTATTTGTAACACATATTAGCATTTTAGTGCATGATCTTTATCTTGTTTTTCCACAAATGTACAAGTTTGTCATAAGAATAAACTAAACAATTAACATTTTAAATATTTTCTTTCTTTCAATTTTACTTAGAGTTAATTTACATAAGTTTATAAACAGTAGAATAGGCTTCACGAGGCCGAAGTCAGCAGGATCCAACATCCTTTCAAATTTCTAAACCACTATTTGTAATCATAGTAAGGTTTGGGAATAATACGGTATATGAACCGCTCAATATACTCGTATAAAACTTATAAATAGTATATTACATACCTAGGCCAGTAAAATAAGAAAAGTCTCAGACCACATGTAATTGTTGGCCGAGGCGAAGCCGAGGTTGACAAACATGTGGTCTGAGGCTTTACTTTTTACTGGCCAAGGTGTGTATACTATTTTTCTGCTCGACGTAGCCGGAATGTGGCAACTTTGTTTAGCGCAGCGGCCAGAAAGTTGCCACTTTCCGACCGGAGGGCAGAACAATTAATTTAGTTATCGTTCAGAACTAGTGATTGAGTTTTGAGATTATTTTATAGCCTTAATGCCCCATCACAAACTCCGTTCGTGACAAAAGAATACGCAACGGAGGTTTTAATTCCGTTGTTTTAATTATTTATGTGGGACGTTTTCAATGTACGAATTTACCACGCCTTTGTTTGAGACTGGGCACGGATTTTAATAAAGTGTAGATGTACTTACTACTTGTTGGATTATTTCTGAGTATCGGATCCGTGATTCCGTGGCTGCTGTTAGCGCCTTCTCCTTAAATGGGCCCTCTGTTGGTATGTGCAGCGGATGGATGTGGATGGATTTGGGCTGCTTATTTTAAGGGCTTCTTATTTTATGAAATTAACAAACTCGAATGAAATTTCACTTCTTTTTAAGATTCATTTTAATTAACACCAAAACTTTTACACTTTCACAAATTTTATTTAATCGAAATTATTATAATGAATTTTATTTGAAATTGAGCTAACGTCCTCCAGTCCCCCGTAGGGTAAAGTGCGCAAATTAAGCTTTTAAGAAATTTTGATTTACTTACTGACCGAACTCTCGCCTAAGTGCAGAGCAAATTAGAACTTTGAGAATTCCGGTTCTCTAAAATTATAATTTATACTTATAATTAATACGTGGCCTGCCGGTTAAACCGCGTCCAAACTTCCTTTAAGTGCGGTGCAAATTAAAGCAAAGGACTCTACAAGGCACGGGCCCGTTAAGTTAAACGCGGAAGTCGAATTAACTAACAAAGACCTGGTTTACACTTAAAACTAATACGTGGTCTGCCGGTTGAAACCGCGTCCAAACTTCCTTTAAGTGCGGAGTAAATTAAAGCAAAGGACTCTACAAGGCACGGGCCCGTCAGTTATACGCGGAAGTCGAATTAACCAACTAAGACAAGGCGCTGGCAGTTGGATCGCCTTTTTAAATACTCGCGGTGCTGAGCCTGCAGAAGTCCCCGCTAGTCAACCAGCAGTCACGTAGCTTGTATATTATTGTGGCTTTCGCGCATGGAGAAGTCTTCCATCTGCGCGGGTGATTTAAATTAAAAAATAAAAATATGCGGGTGGACATAACAGTGTTAATAAACCAAATTTCATTTTTCTAACTCAAAAAATATATTTCTGATTGATTACTGACGCTGATAAAAGTTAAATAAAAATTGAGAATTTAAAAATTTGCTTTATAAAAATGAACAAGGCAAATGTGTCATTAATTAACAGTGGAGTAAGAAAAAAAACACGGACTAGGCCACAATCAGTATCAACTCAACTTACTAAGTATTTATCGTTATTAAATGATATATTTAATAATTTATATAGTTAATTGTTCTAATGTTTAATAGTTAATTTTTCACAATTGGTTTTATAAAATATGTTATTATTTCCGAAAATTAAAAATTTGTTGAATTATAAACTTCCCGCTAAGAAAATTGAAAATTTCCAAAAGTTGGGAAGTTATTGGTTTCACCACGTTTTTCGAAAATCGAGTTTTCAATGGATGTTGACGTTTTGAGATCCTAGGAAGCTTCCCCGAACTTTTCCGCGATGATGTCCGTATGTGTGTGTGTGTGTGTGTGTGTGTGTGTGTGTGTGTGTGTGTGTGTGTGTGTGTGTGTAAACCTCTCATAACTTTAAAACGGCTCGAGCAATTCCATCGTGGTTGGTGCTATTCGACAGGGCTTGACCAAACTTAGATTTTGAATACAATTTGGACCGATTCGCACCGATAGATTTTGAGAAATCTCAAAAAAATGTGAAAAAAAATTTTTTTGAAAGTGGTTTTTGTTTAATAACTTTTAAACGGCTCCATCGATCATCTCCAAAAACTAGTCATCTCTTGACAGCAAAAAACCACGTCGATCGCCGCCAGCCCGGTCAGAATCGGTTGATTCGTTCGTGAGTTATCGTAGTCGAAATAAAACCGAAAAAAATGTTTTTTCAGAATTACATCGAAATTCCTACTTCGATCGATTAAAACTTAAAGATTATTAATGAGGCCTAAAAAATTGCATCGAATACCACCAACTACGTGAAAATCGGTTTATTCATTTAAAAGTTATTGCGGTTTGAAAATTAAAAAAATAGTGTTTTATTAAACTTTTATCAGATTTTTGAGCTCGGAGAGCCGCAAATAACACGAAAATTATATTTTTGAGCTTGAAGAACTCAAAAACTTAGTAAGTTCAATTTTGAGCGCTTAAGTATAAAAATTAGCGGGAAGTTGCAGAGATGGCCTTTAGGGTCAACCGTTTTTCTGATTTTTTGTTTGTTTTGAATAAAAAAATATCATTCGATGATTATTCTGTCAAGTAAGCCAAAAACACCTTTTTCGTCACTTAAGATCAAAAAAGTACTTTTTTTTATCACTTCGGATCAAAAGGATACTATTTTATAAATTCGGATCAAAAGGCCACTTTTTCTCAATTCAACTAATAATAACACTAAAAATTATAAAGTTTTTTTTATAAAAATTAAATTACGCCTTCATCACCACGAGCAATATGCATGAGAATAAAAAAAAATTGATAAAAAAATTTATAGTTTAAAGTAAACAGTTTTACTTGTATTGAAAAAAACTAAAAAATAAAAAGATACCCTTTTGAAAATCAGCTCCTCATATGTTAACTGCTAAAATCATGTTGATTGTAAATTCTACAATCATGATGCTAATTATTACCATCGCAGCTAGTATTATAATTAGTCACTATGTGTCTACCGTGACTTGTGAATTATAAATAAACAAAAATTTCGCTTTATTAAATAATGACTTTTGTTAAATTACACTGTAGTTTCTTAAATATTGACGTTTTTGAAAATGTAAGCATATACGTTTTTAAAGATATAAGCATATATTTTATATATTTATATATAATATATATAAATATATAAAATATATGAAAAATTGATGTGGGTACTCAAATGAAAGGTCTCGATGAGTGTAAGGTCAGGATGAGCTTATATCTTTAAGAATGTCAATAGTTAACAAGATAAAAGGTCATTT